GTTTGGTGCAGCAATGATTTTGTGAAGTTTTGGCACTTTTGAATTGATGCCAGTGAAGTTTGAAATGAAATTAATCAGAACAGAATGTAGCTACACTTAAGGTTGATATTGTGCAATAAATTTATTTATTTTTCTTGATTATTTTGAAATGCACTTTTACTTTAAACTGATAACTTCAGTTATCAATTTAAAGTTAAATCCTTTATTTTCTGGTGTCGGTTGAATCAGTAGCCCCCCAATGTGGGGCTACAGCCCCACATTGGGGTGTGTCCATGTTGGCTTATTCTCATGTTGTTATCAAATGTAAAATATGTCAGAGATGCAGCGATCAGAGCTTTTCTGTCCATCACTGATCTCCAGTTTTCATTCTGCTCTGATCTTCCAGTTCCTGGATTTTTTCTCCAGAGAGAAAAATGTTCTGCAGGTTCTGAGTTTCAGGTAGAAGTTCTGAATGAAACAGCAAATATTAAGATTTTATCACTTTAGGCTTCAAAGCATTGACCTCTGACCTTCATGGGATGGGATGTTTTAGTTTAACTAGGACTTTCTGAAAGGCAGAGTTGATGAAAAATATTTTAATCCAAATATTTAAATTTGAACAGGAAAAGAACAGAATGAGCAGCAAATTAACCAAATGCAGAAGAAGAAAAATGTTCTTATTTCTCTAAAACACATGAAGAAAAACTGCAGAAAAACTGCAGCAAATAAACAAAAGGAAGATTTAATATTCAAATCTGACGAGTTTAGAAAAATAGGAGCCGACAGACAGAAAATGTTCAGAGAGAAAAACTGATCAACATTTCAATGAAATCTAATGAATGAAAGGAGAAAATAAGAGAAACATCTTGAAATTCAATGTGAAGCTTTGACTGGAAACAAACAGGAAAACATGAGGATCCTGGAATAATCCTGGAATAATCCTGGAATAATTCCAGCTTCCATCTTTAAAGGACTGGAAGAAGAAAAAGTTTCCAAGGACTCAATCAGAAAAGTTTCACCAAGAAATAGATTGTAGAGATGAACTATCTGTTCAACAGTGAGAGAGTTTCTCTGACAGGAGGAAAATCTTTAGACTCAAATCAGCAAAGAAACACTGAAGAACCAGAACTGGACCAGAACCAGAATCCAGGAATCAGAGGTTCAGTGAATGTGGTGTTGAAGGTGTGGAGGAGGATCAGTGAGTCAGAGGAGACTCTGTAGAAGGACAGAATGCCAGCAGGACAGTCCACATACACTGATACTCTGTTAGAGACGGAGGAGGAGGAGAGATGAGTTCGTCTGTTATTGTGACAGACGGAGTAACCATCATCAGAGCATCTCAGACTCCAGGAATGATCATTACATCCAAACACACAGTCTCTACTGTTTCCTTTCCTCCTGATTCTTCTGTAACTCACTGATATATAAACTCCTCCTCTCCACTCGACCTCCCAGTAACAGCGACCAGTCAGACCAGTTCTACACAGCAGCTGAGGAAGATCAAATCTGTCTGGATGATCAGGATATGACTGAAGCTCCTCCACAAGTGTCACCTTCCTGTTGTCTTCAGACAGTTTGAGGTTTCTGCTCACTGTGTTTGTGTCGATGGTGAGTTGACAGGAATCTGATGGAGAGAACAAACACAATCCAGCTGCAGTTATTGATCATTTATTGATCTTTGATGATGATCCTGAATGAGTGATGTGACAGTTTGAAGATGGTTGAATGTGAGCTGCTTTGTTGTCATGAATCAGATGAAAAACACACTTACACTTCCTCAGACCTGGTGTCAAGAATGGGCCTCCAGCAGGCTCCACCCTGAAAGGAGGAGGGGGGTCAGACCATCAGTCTCTTTCAGCAGCAAACATGGACATTACATGTCTCTCAGACACACATTGTCCTCCACTGAGACAGGAACAGTCCAACATCTGGATTGCAAACTGCAGTGGATGTAGGAAGGACAGTTGGTGCTGCTGCAGCACAACTCATTTCTCCAAACACAGGAAAAGCTCCAACAGAGAGGAGAAAGGAAATCCCTCAGTAACAACCTGAAGAAACTCACTGAAGCCTAAAAGGACATCAGGAAACTAAGGAAACATTTCTGGAAGCTCAACCTGATTTAATAATCAGACTGACTAAAGACGTTTCTCCTCTTCCTCCTCTATCAGACCTTCTCTGCTCCTGCAGCAGGTTCCTCCATACCTGAGAGCTTCCAGTCTCCAGTCTGGATCCTTCAGTCCAGCCGACAGCAGCTTCACTCCTGAGTCTCCTGGATGATTGTAGCTCAGGTCCAACTCTTTCAGATGGGAGGGGTTAAAGGTCAGAGCTGAGGCCGGAGAAGCACAGCGTTCCTCTGGAACCAAACAGCCTGATAAGCTGCAGACACACAATTCATCTCATGATGAGAACATTGAGGTAGAGCCCAAGGTCTGAACTGGACATTTATAGGAGAGGAAAAAGTCAATAAATTAACCCGTCAATAAGATGAAATAGTAAAAACACTCTCATGTAGTTCTGTGTGTAATAAAAACCAACATTTGTCTCATGTAGAACGGATCAGAATAGAAACATCCTTCATTGATCCACAGCAGGGAGTTCAGGTTTACCAGCAACAAGTTTAAATGGAAGAATCAGATATTCAAGAAAAGGTAAAAATAAATTATAATAGGAGACTGTAGAGTAATGACACATTTACAACAGAGGAATAATAATAATGCTGTACATTTAATAAAAACAGCATCAGTTTCACAGAAATGTGCAGCTGAGTAGGACATTTTATAACCATCTATAAGATGTGTATATTTGTATGTTAAACAGCAACAGACTATTTAAAAGAAATGTAAAAAGACACCAGGAAACAACCAGAATGTATATAATTAATGATTTTGTTGGGAGCTAGGGCTGCACCGATTTATCGGTGCCGATTTCCTTAATTTTAGGGGATCAGTAATCGGCCAATTTTTACATGTGAAGCTGATCTTATCCACCGATGTTATCAACCTCGGCAAAAGTCTAAAAATCAACCACTGTGCTTTTCTTTTCTCCCGTGAGAAAAGTTTGACTGACAAACCGGCCGACCAGCTCATGTCTGCACATTTACAGTTAACAATGGTCGCCCCAATGTTGCCAATTCGGTAACTTTCTTTATATATGGAGCAACATTTCAGACAAAAACATGGTATTGGCCAAAATCAGAATCGATAAATTAGGCTTTTTAAAAGATTGGTAATCCGTGATCGGCCAGAAAACTGCAATCGGTGCAGCCCTATTGGGAGCAGTTCTGGTTAGAAAGTCTAACAACTGCTGGGAGGAAGGATCTGCAATAAAGCTCATTTGTGCACCAAGGATGCAGCAATCTGTCAAGTATCCAGAGTTACACTATCAGTGAAGTCTGACCACTGCCTTTCTAAACACCTCTTTTCTTGGTTCTGTCAGTATGGAGGGAATGAAAACCAGCAACATTTATGTGTAGAAACTTGTTAGTGACAGGAAGCCACTTGTTGCTCATCCAGTTCCAGGCTGGAATCCACTGAGTTCCTGAGAGCAAGACATTATTTCAAAAGGTTTGCAAAAACAGTCTACTTGCCTTGGTGCTACTTTCATAAACCTGTGGCCATGGAAGTTACTGGAACACCTGATTCCCATCATTTGGATGGAGGTCAAATACTTTTGTCAATCTCTGCTAGCAGCTAGTGGATAGAAATCACCAGGATTGGTCACATTTTACCTGAGAGTCTCCAGGTTGCAGTTTGGACTCTTCAGTCCAGCAGAGAGAAGCTTCACTCCTGAATCCTGCAGGTTGTTGTTACTCAGGTCCAGTTCTCTGAGACTGGAGGACTGGGAGCTGAGAACTGAGGACAGAGCTTCACAGCTTCTCTCTGAGAGGTTACAGCCACTCAGTCTGAGGAGACAGGGAGGAAAATCTGTTATTAAACAATTCATCAGAATTTATGTTCTTTCAAATCAACAATGTTTTTATTGGACAGAGAAGGAACCATCTGATTTTACACAACCTTTGTATTTGTTGTGAACTGGTTCATTCTATAGTTGGGCCTCCAGCCTTAAATGACAGAACTACAGGTAACAAGGAGGTTGGAAAGAGAATTATAAAATTACACAATTAACTATATTAATCCATTTCAATGTTAACATAAAGTGGAGGAGTTTTGCTGCTTGAATATGTAACATTATGTTCAGCTGCTGAAGGAAGTCTGTTTCTTTTTTGCTCATCCCCCCCAG